CCAAATAGAGCCCTTTTTGATTTTCTAGTGAATAGAAGGAGAAGAAAATATTGTATTGGGGTCTCATGTCCTGAACTGAATAGATAGAGGACTAGTCTTGTTCCAGTTCAATGACGGACACTCTTCCTCCCCCCACCCCCACCCCGTGAAAATGTTTCTGTCCTTATTTGAAACAATTAGAGCAGATGGGAAAAAAGCTGACATTGCAAGTTTCAGAATTGAAGAAGCCTGTGCCAGTTACAGCCGCTGTACCCTCCCTGCGCCGTGGGCCCAGGAGTTCTGCTCTTTTTTCAGGCTGCGCAGCACAGGGACATTACGGGGACAAAGTAACCTGGGCTGCTGGTAGCCAAGGAGATGGAGCCTTCTGTAAAATGAAGAGCTGCAAACGCCAGGCATTTCAAAATTGGGAGTTAAATTCTCACTCTAGTTCCTTACCCTTCCCCCACATTTACATGGAAACAAAAATGAAATGCTACTAACCTGGACTGTATGTACTCGCCACTCACTTCTGGGCTGTTTGGCTTTCAAAATTACCTCCACATCACAAGGGCTTCCTTTTTCTGAAATGAAGGCTGAGGTTTGCAAATAGATGACATGACTTCCTGACGAAAATAATTACCGTGAGGTAGGTGACAAGCCATTAGATCATGGTTACAACTTGACCTTCCAGTAAAAGGTGCTAGAGAAATCTTCACTCAAACAAAGGGTTGCACCAATGATAGTACAGACAATTACTTTCTATTTCCTCAGCTGCTTCTAGAGAGTTGGTTAGACATGTTCTTCAGAGATCAGTGTTCTTAAATAACCTTCTTAAAATAAATGCAGATTGGCATCTAAGGCGTTGAGGTTTGGCTTGGGGGATAAAGAATAGTCAAGACAAACCATTCAGCCCTTAACCTTTCTTGTGAGACTCTGACAAGCAAGAAGACACTAGTGTTAGTAGTGGCTTTGTGACACGGACCTGCTCTGGAAACTTTGGTTCATTTTAAAGAGAAACCAAGCAGTTGTCCAATGTTGCCATCTTTCAGTCTATAGCAAACAAACCTAGAAGTCAAATACTCTTGTGTCATTTTGCTCAAACTCATGTCCTTTCACATTTTTTAGGACTGCTAGAGCAAGTTATACCTACGTCACTGGCCTAGGTCTATCCCATGGATGGACATCTTCCAGCTCCACCATTATTTGTTTTTTCCTGTTTTCCTGCTGGAAGGAGAAGATAGAGGGGCTTAGGGGAGCAGACCTGTTGGGTCTAATGTGGTTGCCACCTTGTGGCCCCACGCCTGTGGGCACAGGTGGCTCACTGGCACCATGGCACAGTGCCCGTAAATGCAGGTTCTTTGCGTTTCTGGCCATCTGCGCCTGGAGCAGTGGGTCATGGAACAGGTCCCAGGCTGACGCCCTGCATGGCAGCTGGGGTGGACTTCCGAGAGTCAACCTGCGCTCCCAGGAACTTTGCTAGGAGACACGTTGCCCAACTTCAGCTTTGCACTCGGGCTGGCTGGGAGCGAGCCCTCCCCTATTCCGTGCCACGTCAGAGGAATCCCACGTCATGTCACTTACCACCTGGCTGGCACCGCTCCGTCTCATTTTGAAGCACAGCCAAGCAGAGAGACTGGGGTGAAGGCTGTGCAAGAGCCCTCAAACAGAATGACGTATACTTATTTTTCTTTTGCATTTTACCTAAGAACTCAAGAAATCAATACTCAGAAGTTGCCTGATTGAGAACTGAGCATTGTAGGCTGGATTTCTTGATGCATGTGGAAGGGATGTGTATCCTTTCATACAGTGAGATTCTGTTGCTTATCCCATGGACAAATATATTGCATTGCACTTTCTTGCCGAAACAAGTTGGCAAGCACTTCCCTGCTTTTATGTAATTAATAAGTTCTTGCTGTTTGCTGTGATGTGACAGTTGATCCTTTCTTACAGTCTTGTCCAGAAGTTGACAGGATTAGACCCTAACCCCAGGCCAGGAGAAGGGAGTCAGTTCCCTTGCAGCAACTGCACTCAGAGCGCGCCTTTGCAGGAGACTGTCAGTACTGGGAAAGGAGGTTTTTCCTTGCATGCTGCCCTCTGCTCTGCCTGTCGCATCTAAGAATGGCTCAAAGGGAAGGTGCCTTTTTTCTTTCTCCTTTTGAGAAGAGAGCAGAGGGAGGAGAGCAGAAAACGCTGATGTTTTGATCCGCCTGTTTCTTATTCGAGTTGCATAAACACACCAGAGGATTTCTCTAAATTAAATTAAGCAAACCTTTCAAGTTCTCTCCCTGCTTCAAGAAAGCTAACGTGGCTGCTTGCAGATTTGCAGCTACAGAGAAGACAAAGATCTGTAGTGTGCACAGACTCAAGTACAGAGCAGTGTCATGCTGAAAGAACCTGCGCAAGCTTTAATAGAGTATAAAAGCTTTCTGGGCACCAAGCAAAAATCTGTTTAAATCCCTGACAGGGATGAGAGCACAGCATGTATTATCAGCATATGCACAGAGATGGGAAGGCTGTTGAAACATTTGCATTTTGGATTTGCTGTAATTAAAAGGTTTCAACCTTTCCAAAGAGGTTGGAATGGTGGAAGGAGTAAATATAAGACTCCACCTTTTCTCCATCTCCATACAAATATTTAGGGTTCTTCCCTTTTCTCTGCATGTGTGTCTGACTTGCACTGATCCTAATGGCATTTTTCCTTGGATGTAAGTGATGTAAAAACCCATCGGCTTCTCTTGCATATTTATACTCATCATTTGGTACTCAGACTGTGACAGTACCAAGTGTTCCCTGCCCCACACAGTGAAGGACTGACCCCCACTGTGCACGACACTCACCGCACAGCAAAAGGATTGTCCCCAGGCTGCAATTCCATGTGAAAGCAGATCCTTTTCCTCGTGAGCACTTATGTAGAGCTGCGTATCTGGAGAGATTAGTGCCTGCACAGACCACAGATGAAATGTGGCAGGCACCTCTGAGGCAGAACGATGCAAGCTGAACTGGAGCAGAAAGAGATGCTTGTGGATCAGCGGTGAACAGGTCAGATGACGACGTAGTACATATGGGTTCTTTGGGGGGAAAATTACTATTTCAGGAAGGTTTGACTGTAAGCAAGTTTTGTCTGACTAAGATTTGCCTTATTTTAATAACTAATTTGCCAGACTAAAATCTCTCTGCAAAGAGTCTGTGTAACTCAGGGACTACTATATTAGTGATCTGTATCAAGTGGCATAGCTGGAGCTACCAGTTAGAGGAATATAGGGCAGGTGGATGAATGCTTTCTCCAATATCAAACAGATGCAGAAAAAAATTATTCAGGAGCAGGAAAAGAAAGCTATAAGGCTGAAAATGTCAACTTAGTCACCAGTAGCAGGCTGTAAAGATGAGAGAGAAAAGTGAGAAAGGAAGACCATGGTCATTGAATAGAGGATTCCTGCCTAATATAAGAGGAAAATGAGTACGTCTCTACTTTTCCGATTATGTAGAAGGTGAATAGGAGCAAGTCGAAGGAAGATCTTTCCTTTCTGGGCTGTTACTAGATGTGACTGCCACTTCAGTGGTGGCAGCCCTCCCTCCAGTTTCAGCTGCTCAAATAGCAGCAGACAAAGACTGGGAATAGGCAGTGTGGATAAGCTGGTTATTGAATGTTTGGACTGTGACCCCCTTCTTCCAGTCAGGCTGTTAAATATTCATGTAAGTGGGCTCAGATAGATCCCTGCCATCTGTCTGTATCTATATGACTTCATCCAAATAGCTCCAAAACATGTAAAATTTTAGCCTCACAACAGCTCTTTAAAGAAGAAGGGATTTCTCACCTCGCTGAAGGGAAAAGGAATCAAAACACAAAGCAATTTAGTGAGTAACCAGATTTATTCATCTGGACTCCAGCAGACAGGATCCAAATGCAGCTCTTTTAAGTGCCAGGCCCAGCTATAGCCCGAGGCTCTCAAGGCAAAGATCGTATTTAGTGCTATAAGGTGTTGCACAGCCCACCTACCTAATACTGTTCATTAAGCATAAAAAAATCTTTGTATGCAATTATAAAGGAAACCAGAGACTCTGTCACTGGATGTGTGTATGGGTACAGAATGAAAGTATTTGATGAGGAGAAATCAATAATAAAACCATTATTCAGGCATTTCAGCCTGCACTGCATTCAGCTGCACACCTTGATGGCCAGATAAAACAGGACCGTCGTGCAAGCTTCAGTAAACAGTGTGCCCATATGGGCAATTCTGTGAGAGAACAGATTGTCACAGTTACGTTTGACCTGTTTTAGAGCAATCGTGGTTCTCCCTTGGCACTGTGGATGTGCTGTTGACATTTCAGCAGAGCTGCTTCAAAAAAAGGAGTGCCATTGTCAGAATAGTGTGGCATTTTATGAGTGAGAAGCAATTCCTACATTTTAAATCAAGCAACAGGCCCAGTACTTCTCCCTGTCTCCAGTCAGAGCCTTTTAAACAGTCTGAACAGGAAGGATGAAGGAACAAAACCATTGAGAAGACAAGCCCAGACTTCTCCGTGTACATACATCAAGTTACTGTGGACGTGAGGTGGTGTTACTCATATGCTTCAGGGATTTGAATCCGAAGCTCAGATTCAGCTCTCGGAAGCCCCCCCGCCGGCAGGTTGTCACAGAAGAGATGTCTGTGAGATAGCCGAGTTGGGGTGGTTGGTTTTGTACCTGCTCCAGCGAGGCGGCAAATGTGGGGTAGCAGTCCACCTTACCTTAGTTTACTTTCTTATCTGTCCAGGCCCTCACCTTCTTGCTATTTTTAGGCATGAGTGCATTTTGGAAGTAAAAAGGGATGCATTTTCACTGTGGTGCTTGAGGAACCATTACATGCATTTTGGAAACATGCCAGAGGGGATCTTTCTGCCTTTAACACCATACTGAAATGTTTTCTTCTTTCAAGGATCTTTCTCCTTGGCTTAGTCTTTAAGAATAGCCTCGAGGCTTTGAGCTTACTCAATCAATACATTTTTGTTGATGATTTCTTTTTTTTTTAAACTGTTTTTCAGGCATTGGAAAAAATGTCATCTGTGACCGAACGGCAACTCCCCTGGATGCCTTTAGGATGATGACTGCGGCTCATTATTACCCAAAGCTCATGAGCATCATGGGGAACGTTTTGCGCTTCCTGCCTGCTTTCGTGAAGATGAAGCAGCTGATCCAGGAGGGTTACGTAGGGGAGCTGCTGGTGTGCGAGGTGCAGGTTCACAGCGGAAGCCTGCTAGGCAAGAAGTACAACTGGAGCTGCGATGACCTGATGGGAGGCGGGGGCTTGCACTCAGTTGGCACCTACATCATCGACCTCCTGACCTTCCTCACCAGCCAGAAGGCCGTGAAAGTGCACGGGCTGCTCAAGACCTTTGTGAAGCAGACGGACCACATCAAGGGGATACGGCAGATCACCAGCGACGACTTCTGTACGTTTCAGATGGTGCTGGAAGGTGGTGTGTGCTGCACAGTGACGCTCAACTTCAACGTCCCGGGCGAGTTCAAACAAGACATTATTGTGGTGGGTTCGGCAGGACGGCTGATTGTAATAGGCACTGATCTCTACGGACAGAGCAACAGCTCTCCTCAGCGGGAGCTCCTGCTAAAGGACTCCACGCCGGTCAGCAACTCCTTACTTCCAGAGAAGGCCTTCAGTGACATCCCATCCCCCTACCTCCGAGGCACCATTAAGATGGTTCAAGCTGTCCGGCAGGCATTCGAGGACCAGGACGACAGGAGGACCTGGGATGGGAGGCCCCTCACAATGGCTGCCACTTTTGATGACTGTCTGTATGCCCTGTGCGTGGTGGACACCATTAAAAAGTCAAACCAGTTGGGGGAGTGGCAGAACATTTCAATCATGACTGAGGAGCCAGAACTGAGCCCGGCATACTTAATCAGCGAAGCCATGCGGAAGAGCAGGATGTCTCTGTACTGCTAGGTCCTGTCAGCTCCTAGGAAAGAATAGGAACCAGACAGTTCTTGAAGGAAATGGTAATTCAGCCCCTGTGAAGGGCTTGGGCATCTTAGAAACAGCTGAAGATACAGAAGAAGGAAATACGGTGTTTGGATCAACTAAATCTGTTGGTGGCTAAATGCCAAAGTGATGAGGTCCTTAGAAATGCCCAAAACATAGGAGACTTAAGAGCTGACATAACTTAACTGTTTTAATAACAGTATTAGCTGGCTGATTGGAAAGATATATCATGGACTCATCTCCTGCTTGCAGGTGCTTTAGATTATCCAATTGTGTTTACTGTGAAAGGTTGGGAAGATCCTTTTAGATTTTCCTTACCTACCAGAGGGCTGTGAAGGTACTGTCATGTCATAAAATTTTCTGTAGTGTCTGACATGAATGGTTCCTACCATGACAGCTGACACCACCGTGCTGTAGTACTACACCTCTAACCAACACACAGAATAATAGGACTTGGTGTGAAAGTGTTGCGTGATATGGAAAATCTCAGCAGCTCACTTTCATATAGCTTGTTAGGAGCTTCTTTGTGTTGGTTTAGCTAGTTGTTTTTTGTTTGTGGGGTTTTTTTATTTATTTAAAGCACAATTAAGTAGGAAAATGTGTGGCTTTTAAAACAAAGCAGTCCTCAGCCACAGTGAATATGCGCTGGTATTGGGGGAGGGAAGGTCTTCTGTGAGCTCCCGGTAAGCTTCAGTGTTAACTGCACAGATTTGCTGATTAAAATGGGTTGTTCAAAACCTTCATGGATGGCAAATGGCATGACACAGTAGTGATAGTGGGTTTTACTATACAGCTAGTCAGGCTAGTCTTAAATGAAGGTTTACAAACAGTTTCCTGTGTCTGGGACTGACTTTTGAGTGAATTCATTGTGCATTTTGGTTTTAGGTGGGAAACACTAGAAATCCAACCCAAAACCGTATGATTCTTAAATGGGCGGTGTTCTTTTAAACCTTTGTGAACTCACCCTTGAGAGATGCTCACAAACAATTAATTTCATATAGCTCAACCCAGAAGCTTTCACCTCCACTTAGTGGTGAGTGTGAGTGAAAAAAGGGATGAGAAAATTTCCAGTCTGTTTCCAGGGGAAAAAATTACATAAGAAGTCCACCTCTTCACCTCCTTAAAGTGGCCAGCTACTGGTACTGTAGTAATCGCTCCCTGTCATCAGTGCAGGGGTGGACAAACTCTTTTGATATGTTTGTCCCGTTCTTCTTTTTAATATTTTAGATTGCAGTCTTGAAATAATATATTCTTTCAAGAGCATATTCTTGAAAGAATATAGTGAAAGGCACATGAATTATCCCAGTAAACAGGGATACTGCTTTTCTGCATAAAGCTGCTCCAGTGCTTATGTGTTTACAGCGCTAGGTCCTCGGATAGGAAAGAAGTAGAACACAAGCATGTAGCACTAAATTATATTAAACTTGAGAAAAACCTTTTCGGGGATTTTTGTTAATTTCGACTAGGGGAAAGAAAAGAACATTTGGTGAGCAGTAAATTAAAGGAGAAAATATGACCCTCTTTCTCAAGGCCATCAGATCAGTGTTGTCATTTTAGGTTAGAAAGAGAACTGTCAGAATAATTTAGATTTTTTTTAAAAAAACACAGTTTTGCTATTTTTAGGAGCACTAAGGGCTTCTGTAGAGGCTTCTCCTACAAATGACTCCATCTGATTGCTCCTGCCTGTCCTATGCCCTGTTTTAGAGCTTTGTGTTTTTGAACAGGAGGACATCAATAATGTGGCTCATCTCATCTGACTTTAGCCAGCTGAAAGTTGGGTATCTTGTCCTGATCAGCTGTGCAAGGACACAGTAGTCAATAATAGAGAGCGAGCTCTCCAAAGGCTGACTCAGTTCATCCTAGATTAATATAGAAGGAGGTGCCCATTGGAAATTCCTGTCCTCCTCCTTCTCAGAGAATCTCGGCTTCTAAATTTTTAGGTGGCTAAAGTTAGGAAACTTGACTCCCACCCCAAAATTATTAATGCGTGCTTAATTTTTGAAGAGCATACGTGTGACCTTTCATGAAATATGCCCCAAAGTGTAATAGTCTGATGGATGAAGGAATAATGTAATACTGCGAAACCACACCCAGATGGAGAATTGTTTTTACCCATGTTGTTCTGCCAGTTCTAGCAAATGTCTCTGGGGCTGACCGCTTCTGCTAAGACCTCGGGCAAGCTTTCATTGTTCCTTCTTGGAGCCCTTGACGAGTTTGGATGTTTTTCCTAAAAACTGATTTCTTTAAGAATTCCTGAGGTGGTATCTGTGCTAACCAGAATTTCCCATTATAATTGTCATGGTATACCATGCTGTCCAGTTCCTGCCTGAGGAATGCACAGAGAAATACAGAAGAGAGAATATGATCAAGAAATCATCTCTCTTTCCCCCCTGAAGAATGGAATTAGCCCCAAGGGGATCAAGAGAGTTTTCATATAGTAAGGCAAAAGCCATTTATTGAAAATAGCGGCTAGTTCAAATCGTGAATGCAAGCCCGGTGGATAATTTGCCATGTCTAATTAAACACCATCCAACACTGGAACTAAACATGGACCAAAACATTTGTGAGTCTTGCTTCTTAGTGGTTTGGCCATTGTGCTGGAATTGCTGTTCATGTCTTTGCACCTTGTTTTGGTTCACAAATGTTGACAGTTTTTCCTATCTTTATTTTTGTTTTTTTCTGTGTCTTTCTGGGTTTTGTGATGACAGCTGGAAGAAGATATGCTGGAATCCTGTTCCCTGCCCCTGCACTGAACCGTCCCCAGGCGAGACACAGCGTATAGGGATAGTACTACTGAGTTCAACCTTTCTGTCCCGGATCCAAAGGTTTAGGTGACAGGCATCATCCATCCTCTGCAGACTTACTGATGCAAATAGTGCTTCTAAGCAGAAAGAAAATCTAATGTTTTGGTTACATAGCCATCTGATGCTAGTATTAGTTCTGGCTTGCAAATGGGTTGAATCCTGTACAGCTCGTGTGACCACAGTGCTGGCCCCAGAGAGGCAGGCGGAATGAGCAGGGGCAGGGTGGGACCTCTGCTTCTGACAGCAGCAGAGATCTTATGCTAGATTTAGGTGAAGTTGTTACCTAACTGGGATGGCAGGATTGTATGACAGTTTTTCCATTCTCTAGGAGGTGAAGGTGCTGTAGTGTCAAGTGTAAAGATACTAAACTTTCTCCTGGCTTAGAGGAGGAAGGCATTGGTTTATTTATAGAATGTATATTACTGTTCTGATAAATTGTTACTTTACAGTCTGGGATCTTTCTTGGCAGCATCAAGCCCTCTGCTTTTTTGGTACAGTTGAAAGTACATTGAATTGTCCTGAGTAGCCTCTGGAGTTCCCGCTGGGTTTAAGAATTCGGGCAGCAGATAGCAGAGATGTACTTGATTGAACTCAAAAGCGGTACCACACCAGGAAACATATATTTGGAATTGCACTTTCGATGCTGTTCTTTAATGCTGTGCCACAAGGTTTGAGATGAATGCTGCTAGAATTGGTGCAGGCCTAATAGCCAAACTGCGGCTACTGCTGGAATTTACAGTAGCCCCCAAATGAGCTTGTTCATACACTAGGTAAGAAATGTTCATTCCTCTTTCCCAGGGCTGCTGTTGGAGAGGCTCTTTCCTTTGCCATCAACCCATGCACACAGGATACTGAACATTATGGTCTGTTGCCAAAGACAAAAAGAGCCAAAGGGGAGAGCCCAGGTGAAATGCTTTGCTGCTCTGCAGGTGTCTGGTCCAATGCTGGGACGGTCAGCTGAGGGACGATGTCTTATTTTCCATGGGAATTGCATTTGGGTCCACACCAGGGGTAGGGCCACCCAACGCCGTGTGACAGCGGGCACAACTGAAGTCCTTCCTTGTGCCCAAAGGGAGAGTGGTGACTGCAGCAGGGAGCGACAGGGAGGTGTGTCTGCAGTCTGGTACCTATATGCCTGCTCCAACAGGGAGAATATGCTGGTCGTGCAGAGGGTGAGGGCTGCAGCTCCTGAGGGCGATAGCAGCAGCCTTGCTCCACCTCTGTGTTTGGGAGCCTGAGAAGGGACCCTGCCCTCGGGGAAGCAGCATCTGTCCTATACTCCTGCTAGATCCGTGCACATTCTCGGTGCTGAACCCAGTGAGGTCCTACGTGGAGGCGTAACAACTCTGCAAGAGCTTGGGGTTTCCTATATCTAATATTGTGCATGTGTTAAATTAGTAGTACTTAGCTGTGTAGTTAGAAAATACCAAGTAGAGATGAGACGTCCTTACCCATGCAGCCAATATGGCAGAGAATCAGGGCATGCGTAGATGAGTTTAGGCTCAGGATGGGCTGCTGCAGAGTTCATCCTTTGCTTCGGCTGAAAGCATGAGTAATTCCTGCCCAGCCAGCACAGGGCAATCAGAGGCACTCTCCACTTTGTACTTAGTGTTTCCTTCTTTTGGATAGCTTTCGAATCAGTGACTGTACAAGTGAACAGCTGTTCTGGAAGTTCAGCCATTCAAAAATGGAGGCTTTTCTGCTGCGTGTGGTCACAGCACAAGGACAATTCAATTTCTCTGTTACCTTGTTTATTTCTGTGTCCATACAAATGTGGAAAAGACCCAGACAATTTAAAATTACTCATTTCACTACCAAAAAAAAAAAAAAAGGCAGATTTTATTTAATGGGTAAAGATAAACATAGTATCTTGATGGTATCTTTGCAGAGGTTCAGAAATTACTGATGACGGAATTTCTTGTTGCTGGGAATTTTTATATTTGCCTTTTATCTATGGCCTTCAATATAAAACATCACAAATTATGAAGTCTGTTCACTGTTAAGTTCTGTATTTACAAGGGTTTAAAAGTACCCAGCAGACTTTTGGCTTTGTGCAGATACTCAACACTGGTGTGATGTTCCAGTGGCCCAGTGATGTACCCTTAGGTACATATGAAACTCCACGCTGGACTGTTTGACCTCTGCAGCGCTCTCTGCGTATCTAGTTGTGAAATGGCAGGATTATTCAGGACAGCAGTTTCTTCTTGTTGTTGTTGAAGTTGTTACTTGTCGGGAGCAAAGTTTGTAAATTTTAGAGATGAAGTATGACTGAATAATAATTGGCAGTCTTATCTTTAAAATTTCCTCTCTCTTGAGCTGCTGGATGAAATCTGTTCGATAAAAATAATTTCCCCTTAACAATAACTGCCCACTTCCGTTTGCTCATGGAAAGAAGAAATTTTAAGTAAATGGGACTGTACATAATGCTGCATTCATGAACCGATGTCATAACCTCATGACTTACTGAAGCCAGAGCCCAGGCAAGTCATGACTTTTTCGAAGCTGCCAAATCAAGGCCT